CGGCTGCGCGCTTCCCCGGCGGGGGCGAGTGAGGGGTGTGTGGGAGGAAACGGCGGGGCTGAAGGCAGGAGGCGGGTGCTTGGGCTGGGGCAGCGCGGGGGGCCGTGAGCAGGGGACTGCCCCGGGCCTGCAAAACCCTCGCCGGGCCCAGTTTTGCTCCTGGCCGGCAGACGCTGTCGTACCCGGTCCTGTAACTTAGCGAGTTTTACATTTCCTCTTCCAGCTGAATAGCAATAGCAGCGGTAGCTGCTGCTGCTTCTTTCGCAAGGTTAACTTTGTTAGGTATGCTGGAAAATCTGTTTGAAAAATTGAAATAGCAAAATGATGCAGGAGCTGACTTGTTTCTCTGTCTCTTCTACGAGAGACTAAAACGTAGTAACTTGCCCCATTTTAAAAAAGAAGTTGTTAAAGAGATTGTAGTCATGTTTTTTAATGTGTGGTTTCCATTTTTAAGGGTGTTGCTTTACTTGAGATCAAATGCGGGTATGTTTTGTCAGCACCTTTGCTCTGCTGAGGTAATGTTGAGGAACTATATAGTTCAAGCTGATAATGCAGAACTTTCATAAACCAGGACTTCATATTGTAGTGTAAACCAAAATAAATAAAGGACGTGTGTTGTGCTCGGTTTCTTGCAGTATTTGAGCTTGCTTTGTCTTCTTAAGCAATAACTACCAATATATATTGCAGTAGCAAGACAGTTCCAAGGAAAGTGTTCTGTGTCTTGGCTTTTGTTACTTTGGCATCATTGTGAATGTAGCTTTTTATCTAGTGGCACTTGATTTTCCAGCTTGAGAAGATTAAAAAGAGAGAAAACTGGAAAAACATGAAACACCGGATGAAATAAGACAGCACTTCTGTAGAAATGTCCCTTGAGTTGTGCTGTAGACCTCTCTAGTGCTTGTGAAGACAGATGGTTTATCAAAATATTAGTGTTTTTAAAATCTAACAACTTTTAAAACTGCCTGCTGCAACTTTGTCATGCCTCTGTAGACCAACAGTTACTGACACTAATGAAATTAACAAAGGGAAACTTTGATCGCTTGGCCTCTGGTTGCCCAGAAAACATGGATTATCGCAAACTGTGAAGTGGATACTCAGAAATGACCGGCTGAATTCCCACCACTCCAGTAGTTGGTAAATCCATCTCAGTGGATTTAATTCAAACAGCACAGTTGATCGTTTGTTGCAGGCTGTTAACAGTGGTAGTCTTTGATCATACCTGCTTTTACAGGACTTGAGTAGGTGAACAGAGAGACTGGGAAGAAGAAGAAGAGGGGGCTGTTAGGCATTGTCTCCTTTAACCAAACCTTCGTGTTAAACTCTATACTTGGAATTTGGACTTTTCTCGTTTTTTTTATTTTTTTATATATGTATATATATGTAAACACACACACAAACACATATACATGTAGCCTTAGGTATTATGTTGTAGTCTTATCAATGTTGCCCTGAAAAGCTCTGAGTAGTAGGATGAAAGTAACTAGTCTATATGCTCACTTTCCATAAATACCACTAGAATGTTACAACTTCTACAGTTTCAAACTTCAGTTCCCGCTATTAGTATTTCACGACACTTGCCAGAATGCTGAAGAGACTTCCCAAGGTTAGAAGCTTTAAAGACTAGTAGCAGAAAAGACTGCGTTAGTGCCTTAAGGAAGAGGAAACCTGTGCTCTAACATTATTGTGTGCCTGAACTTCTGCTACAAAGTGTCAAATGGACATCCCGAACTGTTGGTAGCCCCTTAAGGGTGTTATGGCCATGGTGTTTCTGATGGGTTTCATGCTTGACTGACTTGTATTGTGGAGCTAGAAAACTTAACTGGATGGTGAGAGCTCAGATAAGAGAGGCAGTTTAGGGTAATAACGGTCAGAGCTCAGCGGCAGCTTCTTCGCCTCGGGATGAATGTGAGAGTTGCTTCTCTGTAGCACCTGAAAGCACCAGGTACCAGGTTTTGCTGATCAGAGGTACTTCTGTTTTCTTTCTAGTTAAATCAGTTTGCTGCTAAGTAACATAATCTTCACTTTCGGATATTACAGTGATGAACATTCTGTTAGAGAGGTGATAGGCAGGGAATCATTCTCTGCGGGAACAAAAACTGTATTGCCCAAGGTCATTCTTTCCAAAACACGTGCATGAAGAACAGGATGCGAAGCGCATGTGCAAATAGAAAAGTAGCATCTATTACACAGTGGAATGTGACAGTAGGTCACTAAGGTGCATAGCTTTACTTGGTGACCCTCAGCGGGGTTTATTGATATGAAGCTATCAGCTGCTTAACAGTCCAGATTGTTACACTCCTAATATGTTTATTTGGATTTATAGAACAAGTGGGAATATCTAGAAATTCTCATAGCCTTTGAAAAAATAAAATTTAGGTTTAACATCTTTTAGTAAGCGAACAGAAAATCCTTTTCCGAATAAAGAATTCATCTGCTTTCAGTAAAGCAAATTATGTTTTTTCCCAACAGTCTTGAGAATAAGTGGAGAGTCTGCTGTGAAAGCCAACGGACCATTAATGAGTGGGTTCAGAGAGCTATGGGGGTCTTTCAGAGATCAGCATGCTTTTAACTTGCATTCTTTGGTGCCAGAGAGTCATCTTAGAGAGCGGTTTCACATCCTGCCTCTTGTCCTGGCTCTAGTGCTTGTCTGACCCTTTATGAGGCTGGTCCAGCATACAGAGTTCTCAGCTTACTGCGGTGAAATAGCTCTGTTCGAAG